GGAATTGGGGAAAGAAGTGAAGAACTCAAGAAGGGTTTGCCTCTAGTTGCTGCTTTTGATGGGAAGGAAATCAAGAATTGGGGGAAACCAGGAAACTAATTGTGGAGTCGGGACCTCGGGTAGTGGTAAGTAATCTGGTCCATGGTCTATGCGTGATTAACTAATTTGGGCCTGCCTAATTTAAAAAAATAAGTTTAAAAAATAAAAATAAAAGGCCCATCTGTGAACTACCCAACAACATTACAACCAAGTACCAGCCCAAATCTGTGACTGTCATCACAGATTCACAATCACAACCAGCCGGCACCCGGCAGTTCCGGAGAATCCACCTAGGGCGGGCGCCCTAGCTGGCCACCACCTGAATCCGTCAATGGTCGACGTGTTTTTGTACCCTGAAACCCTCCACTCTCACAATAATGTGAAAATAGGGAAAGTAAATGGCAGGAAAAAATTGTACAGTCCTTCGTAGAAAAAATACAAGTATACATTAGTGTATATATATACATTTTTTTTTAATTTCCTGATACAGTTGATAATACCACCATCACCAGAAAAGATTCAGTGTGATGAGATGGCTTAGAGTCTGAATTTAGCTGTAAAAGAGACACATCTCATCTGATTTTGTAAGTGATAAAGAGTAGCATTGTGATAATTCAAAAACAAATTATACGCATGCCAAAGAGATTACAATATCCTTTATCAATCTATTTTATTGCAAAATGAATTTTCTACTAATGTCTACACCTCCTTTTAGCAGACATAAATAATAATGCTACTGATGTTTAATACGAGTATACATGACATTAAATGATAAGTGTCACTACGTCGTTGCCACGTAGACCTATGCTAAACACAAGTGACGCTACATAGTATTACTTCGTAGGTAAATTATGGTGTACATATGCTGATATGCATACACACCATTCACAACCTTCTCTAATCCCAATAAAATATACGCAAATGGTCTAAATTATATAGATATTCGCCTCTTACAATTCTGATCTTCAATGGCTTGGCTATTTATATTAACAGTCATTGTGCAATTCATTTGCACCACAACATGCTTTTTTATAATGTTGATAATCTTCACCTTTCCACTTATTTTTGTATAGCTACTTATAGGCAGTGTCCCTGAATTCAAGTCACTTCTTAATCTTGGTACAGCCAATATTTTGTCCACCATAACATCAATAGAAACATTCATATCAAGAGTTCTTCGCGCCTTGGCTTGGCCAGCCGGAATTTGAGCTTCACCAATGACACTACTGTCGTAGTATAAACTTGTTGTAGCGTTGCTAAACTTGAAGGAGGCCACATTAGGGTTCTTGACAGAAACATCAGCTTCAACTGTTAGGTTAATACCTGGACGGGGATTATTCATCCTCAGAAGTGCACCGACTCCTTGAATCGTTACGCTGTTCATCTTGATCACGGGATCCTTTACGCGAAAAACAGTGAACACGAGTATCAATATGATCATAACTAGAATTAAGAAGATGGCAGTTATGCAGCCACAGCAAGTGAGGCACTTTCGGTGGTGATGCCGTCTGAATACCGTTGATATGTCTTCATTTTCGTCCATCTTGATCTCGACAGAAGCCGGGGCTAACGGCTTCGCTTGCTCTCTTTTCTCAGCCATGATCGAGTACTGATCAAGATTGTAGCAAAATGGTTTTACTACTTTATGGTAAAGGAATTGATATATAAATTGTTGAGGTCATTGATTTGTCGTCGGTCACAACTTCCAACGCGGCTTTGAATTTTGACTGATGACCTTGTTTTATGGAAATTGCTGTGTATAGAGTAGAATCTCAGGCGGAAAATTCTCTATTGAGTCATGGAAGCTTCTACTTTCTATGTGATTGGAATGATGTGGGATAGGAAATTGTCTTGAAAATATAATATTACGTTGATCATAAAGAATTGGGTCAATTTCATCCAGGTCACTGAACTTTTACGAAATCGCAATTAGGTTTAATAAATTCTGATTTGCCTTCATTGGGTCACTAAACTTGATTTTGATTCAATTATGACAACTCTATATATCGCATTACGTCACATATCATTACCCATATACATTAATTGCTTAACTGTTCTTTCAGG